TATAAAGAAAATAATATATTCTAGCTTTAATTGGAGTAATTTTGTAGTTCTTTTTTTTTTTTCTAGTGTAATTTTGTAGTTCTTAAACGACTAAATTAAATTATAATAGTTAATATAATTGTATAATAATTATAATTTTGGGTTAATTGCACTAAAAGTTGTTAAAGTATGAAGTTTGTCTTATTTTAGTCCTCATTGTTTCAATTGTATCATTTTGGTCCCTAAAGTTTTAAATATATTTTTATATGGTCACTCATGCAGACAGTGTCCAGATTGTTAACGATTTTTTATCATAAAATTGTCACATGATACTTAAGTATGGATAAAAAAAAATAAATTAGATAACTCTTGATCAAATTTNATCCCTAAAATTTTAAATATATTTTTATATGGTCCCTCATGCAGACAGTGTCCAGATTGCTAACGATTTTTTATCATAAAATTGTCACATGATACTTAAGTATGGATAAAAAAAATAAATTAGATAACTCTTGATCAAATTTTTACTCAAATTTTGGTTAAATATCTACATAAATTACATAATTTTGATCACGAACTATCCAAATTTTGGTCAAAAGCTACCCATATTACACATTTTTTTATTAAAAGCTACCCAAATTTTGTTTAAAAGCTATTAAAATTATTTTTTATTTATATTTAGCTATTACGTGACAAGTTTATGTTAAAAAATCGTTATCAATTTGGACATTGTTTGCTTAAAGGACCATATAGAAACATATTCAATATTTTATGGACCAAAATGAGACAAATCTCAAACTTTGAGGACCTCTAGTGCAATTAATCCTATAATTTTTTAAGAAAAAAATTAAATTTTTATTTTAAATTTTATTTCAATAAATATCATAATATAACATGAATTTTAGTTATGTAATTTAAAATATTTAATATTCTATATTTGATTGAAGTATTTTTAGTCTAAGTATAATATTTTAAATTTAAAGGGTCTAAGTATTACACTCTTATAAACTTTAGAGAGTCTGAATGTAATTTACTTACGGATATACTAACTGACATTAATGGCAAGGTTTAAGTGTTACGTGCGTATAAATGTTAGGGGTCTGTGTGTAATATTTCAAACGTCAAGAGATTTGAGTGATTAAATGATAAACTTCAGAAGATTTGTATATAAAATTTCAAACGTAAGGAGATTTGAATGTTTAAGTGACAAACATCAGGGAGGTCCGAAGGTAATTCTCCCCATAATAAAACACCTTGCAACTCCAATTTTTATTCCCTTAAAAATAGAGAAAGGTTATTGAGAATTAATTTACTGACCTAATTTATTATAATCTTTGAATTAATTATGGGCTCCATCAAATATTAGAACTTGATATTAATCCAATGACTCCATTGAAGTCACATTATTATGTTAGTAAATTATGTCAAATTTTTTAGATTCAAATAAAATTACTCTTAAAAATATCACATCACTCATTTTTATCACATATTCAATTATTTAATTTTTAATTTAACATAATTTTTACTTGAGACATTATATATACACGATAATATATACATGTTGAGAAAATTTTATTAATATTTTAAAAAAACATAATAAATAAAAATAAATTTTAAATGATATAATAAAAAAAATATTTAATATAGTGAGATATTTTGTAAGCTTAAATTTTATATTTCATTCAAGCATTCTAACTAATTGATGGAAGTTTTCAAGGGTGGCGCCCCCTGGAGTACTTGGTGAGGAGTTCGTCAAATTTTACGAGTTAATATTAGGTGGGCCTTGAGTTGAATAAGATAAAGATGAATTCGTGGGGGAGACGCAATCACGAAAATTCTAATTTATTAAATTTATACTAAGTCTATTTATAATCATGTATAATTTAATTTTTAGGGTGTATTTTTTGTATTTCATCAAATTTTATGTCGATTTTTTTATTAAATTGTTCTAATGAGCCCACTCGCATAAAAACTTAACTATTAGGACTAAGCTAAAATTACTAACTCCATATTAATATAAGAATTATGGTCCACGCCATCGGGTGGACTCGGCTCTTTATGTAAGATAAGAGAACAGTACTAATCATTTATAACAAATCTCCATTCGTGAAAGAGATTGTTAAAGTGTTAAACGAGTTTCACATTAATTAGTGATGAGTGAGTTTTAAGTCGTGTAAGAGAGCTAGTCACACCACCCTCTATATACATTTTTGGATTAAAAACTCATGCCCAACAAGATATACGGGGAGGTTATGTTTTGAACACATTTTAAAGTCAACGTTCTAAACTTGAAAGTTTTCAAGCTGACGCATATAATCAACAATTTTAGTGTATTATAATTAAATTTTAAAAAAAGTTTCATTAAATAGCCGAATGACATGGTCAAAGATAGATTAAATAAAATCAATTATGTTAGATAATATTCAAAATTCAACAACACGGTGCTTCTAGGTGCTTCTAGTCATAGGACATGAGGATAACTGACAAGGACTAATAACGACTTGGTCATCCCGAAATTAGTCACGCCACCCTCCATCTCGTCATCCAAAAGTATCTATAATATAAAATAACTTAAGTTTTAATAAATGAGTTTGATGATTTCAAATAAATTTATTTAATGATCATTAATATTTCTCTTANTAATATAAAATAACTTAAGTTTTAATAAATGAGTTTGATGATTTCAAATAAATTTATTTAATGATCATTAATATTTCTCTTAAAATTATTCACATTATACTGTATTTTTAGACACGAATTATCCCTAATTATAAAATAAAGGTGAAACAAGTTTTATAACAGAAATGAGAGAAAATAGCGAGGAGAGTAAAAGAGAAATATTGAGAGAGAGAGAGAGAGAGAATGGGGGGGGGACTACAATGAATGGAAGCTGTAATGAATAAATATTTGAAGAGTAATTTTAATGGGATATAATTTAAGGATTTAATTTGAAGGTTTACTAATAACTTAAGTGGTAAACATAGACAATGGTACCATAGACGAGCTGTAAATCCAGATATCTTGAATTTAAATCTTGACAATCTCTTGAGGCCAGACCATGAGGGATATATCCTGTGAATATTTTAATTCTAGCATAGACGACTTGCTTTTGACGAAAATGGAATTGAGATTAGTTAAGGTGCACGTAAGCTGACCTAAATATACTTGACCGTTGAACAAAAAAAAAATTGATTGTAGTCATTGGATTGTCAGTACATCTCAAAATTGAATGCACTTTGATGGGTTAAGCCCAAGTAGTCCAATTTATGTATTAAAGCCCAACCCCGGTTGAGGAGCCCAACCTCATCGTGAATCCACCAAGCCAAAAGAGCCCAAGGCCGGTTAGACTTCTTGCTTAGCACGTCACCAAGAGGAAAGCACGGGAAGTTTATCTGCACCGCCTTAAGGAGCCCAAGGCTGGCTAGACTTCTTGCTTAGCACGTCACCAAGAGGAGAGCACGGGAAGTTTATCTGCACCGCCTTAAGGAGCCCAAGGCCGGCTAGACTTCTTGCTTAGCACGTCACCAAGAGGAGAGCACGGGAAGTTTATCTGCACCGCCTTAAGGAGCCCAAGGCCGGCCAGACTTCTTGCTTAGCACGTCACCAAGAGGAGAGCATGGGAAGTTTATTTGCACCACCGAAGGAAGAAAACGGTCCAATCATTGACCACGTTTCATGAAGAGCTCCCCAACCTCTTCCTCTCGTTGAGGATAAGTCGCGATCTCCACCAAAGACAATCTCTAAGCTGCGATAAAGAAGCCTTGAGGATATGTCATGATCTCCACAAGAATGATCTCTTATCTACTATAAAATGGCTCTAATCTGTGAGAGAAAGGGACACATGCTCCATCAGAGACTTNCTTCCTTCCGTGGAGGATAAGTCGTGATCTCCACCAAAGATAATCTCTAAGCTGCGATAAAGAAGCCTTGAGGATATGTCATGATCTCCACAAGAATAATCTCTTAGCTACTATAAAATGGCTCTAATCTGGGAGAGGAGGGATATGCTCCATAAGAGACTTACAGAAGACGAACCGACGACCGGAGATTATTATTTTCTTTGATTCTCCATTCCCCCTCTCAAAGCTTGTATCTCCATTCTCCATACCTTTGAATCAATAAAATACCCGGCGACTGAAGCCATTGAAGAGTGGACGTAGGTCAAATTGACCGAACCACTATAAATTGTGTCTTCTCTAATTTTTTCGTTGATTTCATTGCACTTATTATCTATACTTGACAGGTGGTGTGCAAAACCATTTTTGTGCATCATCACACTTTACTGTCAATCCAACGACCACAAGGATTTAAATTCTCAAATTATATTTTTAAATTATGTCCCAATAAGATTAATAATTTTTGAAATCGACTCGAATTTCAATCAGTCGGACTCAAAAAATGCATGATTGGATGGATTTCTACCAGATCAACAATGGGCTTAGGCCTTGTCCTACACTTTCCTTTCGGCCCAACATTTTGGCTTCCATCAAGCCATCCCTGTCACGTATCACTAATGGGAAACCTCAAAAATGCCACGTACACCCCCGTAATTTCATAACGTAAGCCCAATTGCCCAAACCAATCACGCCTAAGTAACCCAATTGGGCCAATTCTGTCTGTCTCTCTCTCTCTCAGCACACGCCTGCCATGGATCCTTTTCTTCCTCCTCCTCACACTCTAATCATTGCCCACCCGCTCATTACTCCTGAATCTCCACCATGAGAGGTGTCCAAGCTCCCACTCTCACGTGACTTTCCTTCCAATCTCACGTGCTTATCGTTCTTGGTTCACCTCTTACAGCCAACCAATACACTGTATGGACTTCGTAAGCCTCAATAACCTTCACATTTCCAGATCTGGGATATATACATTTGTATATGTTAATGTATTCATTTACGTGTATGCGTAGTTCTTCTCATCAATGTCTATGAATCTTCGTGAAAATTGGCAGAGGTATGCGTATAAATGTTTCAGCTCAGATCTGATTAGCTTTGGTGGTCAAAGAATTTCTTGTATTTCGGGTGAGATCTTTTTAATTTGAAGCTAATTCAATGAATTAAGCTTTATCTTACGAAATTCATAGTGTCCATGCGTTGAATTCGTTGAACTAGAAAGATATTTAATGAAAAATGGAGGCCTCTAGTGGGCCTAGTCCTAGACTCAATTCAATTTCATTCAATAAAGAGAAACATGGAGACCCAGATATTTACAATTTCGAATTGGAGTCTTCGGATCTTAATGTTCAATCTGACCACCATTTTCATCCGATGAATGCTTTGGAAATTCTGAGAGAAACAGTGAGGATTCTTCGTTATAATTCAGCGGGTTTGATGGCAATAGCGGCATTGCTAATTTGCCCAGTTTCAGCTGTTCTATTGTCCAATATATTGGTGGATCAATCCACTGTGAAGAGACTGACTATAAGGCTTTTGTTAGTGGCAAAGTCCAGTGGCCTTCCTCTTAAGCCTTTTATCAAACAGTCATGTCAAAAGTTTTCTGAAATGGCCATTTCAGCTACAATGTGCTTTCCTTTGTACATCACATTGTCATTGTTGTCAAAAGCAGCTGTTGTTTATTCAGTTGATTGCACGTACTCGAGAAAGAAATTTGATTCGTCAAAGTTCTATTTGATTATTAGCAAGATTTGGAGGCGTATAGTTGTGACGTATTTGTGGTTGTGTATGGTGATTGCTGGTTGCCTCACATTGTTTCTTGTTCTTCTTGTTGCTGTGAGCAGCTTGTTTTCTATAATTGGTTTTCCATCAGATTTGATTGTGTACCCTGCAATGATAGTGGGGTTAGTCTTCTCTATCATTTTAGCGAATGCTATTATTATTTGCAACATTGCTATTGTGATCTCTGTATTGGAGGATGTTTCAGGGCCTCAGGCATTGTTGAGGTCTAGTCTGCTTATTAAGGGTCAGACTCAAGTGGGTCTTTTGATATTTCTTGGGTCAACAATTGGGATGGCATTTGTGGAGGGTTTATTTGAGCATAGAGTGAAGACATTAAGTTATGGGGATGGGTCTTCGAGGTTATGGGAAGGGCCCCTTTTGGTGGTAATGTATTCATTTGTGGTGCTTATTGATTCCATGATGAGCGCAGTTTTCTACTTCAGTTGTAAGAATTATAGTATGGAAGCCTCAAAGGAAGAATCTCAACCAGTTTTAGAAGCTATGACAATGCCCCCTGGAACGCCAGACATTCAGTGACTTTATGTTGGTTGTTTTATGATTTGAAAAGCAATATTAGTTAATAACATAGGTGGGAACTGCTGAGGAAGGCTGGATTTATAGTTACCCTTGTGCTCTTCGGTTTTCAACAAGCAAAGGTGGTTTTTAACCATAACAGAGAATGGATAGACAGCAGCAGGACCTTTGTTTGATATATGATCATAAATTACTTCTTCAGTGACGTGCAAACATGAGAGCTGAAGGAAAGAATAAAGAAAGCTTGGTAATTGCAACTGTGATGAATTGTTGTATTCCTATTTCAGGAAATATTTTAGAAATTATGACTCCATACTCTGTACTATTTTTGTTGTTTACCGTTAATATGAATTATTATAGATTATTCCATTATTATTGTTTGATCTACTGCATGTTGCATGGTTATACTTGATGAGATTTGAATCCTGTACGATAGTAATATTATGATAATCATCCAAAATTTTGCTTTACTCTTAAATGTTGTTTTCTTAGGAAATTTTACTGTAATGTGGAGTCATATTCTTCCAATGCATGCAAGTTGTGTGTACGCAACTTCTACAAAACCTGTATACAAGGCCACTGGCCACCTATGATAATGGGGATAATGGGAGTTCTCTGAGCCAACTCATTTAGTAGCTCATTTTGCAACTAAAATTGTTTCAATTGTTCTAGAACTCTTCAATTATAATTTGCTTCATTTATTATTTTGCAAGAGCATTTCATTAATGTGCTCTTAGATGCTAAATTGGTTGTTCAAGAGTACTTGCTTGAGTTCTTGGAGAAAGATGTTTAACCATTGTGATCTGCGCCAACTTGAAGCTTTCTGGATGAAATGTTAATATTTCAATTAATTTTGGTTAAACTTCTTATCTGCCAATAGGGTGTCATCTCTTGATTTTGCTTGCACAATAGCTTGTCAAACCACTTAAGATAAAAGAGGAGGCTTTTCTATTGAGTGTCTATTTCAACTTGTCTTGTGTTTTGTTCAGACTTTAGATAAGGCGTGGCTTGCTGCTTGACATTGAGACAAGTTTGTGGATTGATGATGGATTTAAAATAGACGCTGATTTGGTCATCTGTCTCATACTGGACTCGCTTTCTAGATTATCCCTCTAGAGAAAGGTGATTATAACAATCTTTCTTCTAATGCAGGTGCAGCGAGCTATTCATTAATGGATCTGATTTCATAACTAAAACAAGGTGTTTAGTGAATATGATAAGCATAAATTTTATACTGAAATTTCCATACAGAATGATGTGGCCCGTGGTTTCCTTTGTCAAGGCACTTACAGCAACAATAACGCGGACTTATCAGTCTATATGGAAATTCCTGTCAAGTTTTATGTTTGTGAAGCACTGGCAGGCAAATCCTGAATGGTGTTCCGGGCAGAGAGATCAATTACAACTGTACCAACACAGTGACCTTGTATTGTAGCACCTGTCGTGACAGAGATTTCTCGATTTTACTCGTCTGAGCCTTGTTAAAATGTCTGATTGGCAAGTATGGTTTTGATCAGATTCTCTTTTTCTTGCGCCTTCAAATTTAAGCTTTTTTGTAGGTGGAGTGGATGAGGAAAGCTGAATAAGTAATGCTCCTACATTTCACTGTCAATTGCCATTTCAACTCAAATATATGCGGTGAACATGTGAACTTCACATTATCAGCAGGACTATGCGTTGGATGATAGGTGATGGTGCTCGAAATTAATTGGACCGAGTTGCAGAATAGGCTTGGGTGAAGTTCAACCAGTGTGTGTATACGCGAGTGTGTATGCTATATGTATTATGCAAGAGGAAGACAAAATATGAGTGGTTCACTTTAGTTGAAGTATTAAAGTTACATCCATTATAAGCAAAACTCCAACTTTTTGGGAATTGTATTGTTTGGAGAAGAAGGTTTTTAGTACACGGTGTTTGACTTGAAGCCTTTACAAGACATTGTTTAGGTTTTACTTGGTGATTTACAGAATGACTCCTCTTTATACTGTAGCTCTGTTGGCTATTTATACAACTGGTAGTTAGGGTTTCGTGTTTGTCTCTTTTTGTTTTTATCCTGGAGCTGTGGTCCTCAAAGTCTTTCTACATCCACTATTCGTCGGCTATAGTATTTGATCCGTCTGCACCACCTATGGACTTTTGTTCATTAAAACCATCAGGTTATGTTTCCTTATCTCCTAACCATGTGTTAAGTTATAGTTTTAGCAAATTGGTTCTATACCGAACTCCTAAGCTCTGAGCTTGTTATCAGGTCGACCTTGTTAATCCGAGTTTCTCTGCAACGAGTCTCTGGCCCAGTTCATACTCAGGAGGTTTTTTTTTTTTTTTTTTAATGTACATTTTAATATTAAATGCATGTCCGAATTTTTTCGTGTGTATTTTCATTTCTTTAATGATTGCTTCTTAATTTATTGCAATTTCACCAACAACAGGAGAAGGACAGGAAGAGGTTCTATCTTATGATGGGGCGTAGACAGAAATATCTGTGAGAGGAGACAACATATAATTGATACAAAAAAAATTCATTTAAAAAATGATAAAAAAATAAGAATCAAGAAAAAATTATTCTGAAATAGTAAATTTAATTTTTATTTAACTGAAACAAAATCTTAACAAAAGACACAAAATATTTTTTTTCATTACATTGTAACTTAATTTTATATGTCAATAAAATATAATTTTTTTAAAAATCTCTAAAATTTTATATATGAATTAAATATAAATTAATTTTTTACTAATTTTTTATCAATGTGCACAATCACAAGTATGTAGTAAAATTATTCTTTATTTAATTGTAAAATTTAAGTGAGATCATTATCGATTTTATAGAGAAATTATATATTCGAAATAACTTGAAATATTTCTGGGTTACAACTTTTTATTTTTTGTATATAATCATATTTTATTAGGTTATAGACTAGCATTATTAAAAAAATGGTAAATAAAAACTAAAAATTATTCTTAAAAAATAACGAACATTGTGTTAAATAAATGAAAATATTATATTTTCGTCAATATACAAATAAATTAAGATAGTTATATCTGATTGACTCAATTCAAGCTTAACATATTTATATTAGAGGATTAGTAGATCACAAATTTATTGAAAAAAAAAAAAAGACTAGAACCATTATTAAAGTTTTCAAAAATTTAGAGAATAAATATAATATATAAAATAATTTTATAAGTCTTCATCTAAGGTGTTGCATGATGGTAGAAGCTATGTTACAAGCAAAATGGGTTCGTCAGAGTCGTTGAGGAGTTATTTTATCCCAGTGTTTTTAAAACCCGGTCCGGACCGGTCCAGAGGGTCAACCCGGGAACCCTGAGAACCGGATCTAGAACCGGGCCGGTTCTTATAAAATATCGTTTCTGTACAAAAACCGGATAAAATCCATTAAACCGTCCGGTTATTGACTAAACCTTTCAAACCGGACGATTCTGAAAATATCGGCCGGATTAGTTTAAAAGGTATAAATTCTAGTGTTTTGGCTCTTTCAGGCATTTTTTGCCCCAAATTGATTTCTCAGCTACACCTCTCACTCCAGTCCTGTCCTCAGTCTCCTCTCTCTCTGCTTCTCCTTCTCTGTCTTCTTTGCACTGCGTCGAAGTCGAAGGCAAAGTTCGAACGACAAACCTTCGAAGTCGAGGTAGGAGGGATTCACTGGCCAGAGCTCCATCGCCGATTTCCATTTCCTAGGCATCGCTCAAGTGTGAAATAGCACACAGCAGAGCAGGTACATCCTCTCTGTCTGTCTGTCTCTCTCTCTGTAGTCTGAAGTATTCTGCGTTGTGAGTTTGTGGGGATGCTCCAGTTTAAGGATTTAATAGTTCACAGATAATGGCTGCATGCTCTAGATTGGTAGATCCTCAATTATTCTGTGTGATGGATTTTCATTTTTAGTTTGCTGCAAAGTTTTGCTTTGAAATGTATGCCATACGTTGATGTGGGTTCAATTCAATGCCTGTTTATATGTGTTTCTCATATTTTCCCATAATTAAGAATGATTTGTAACCCCTACTGAAAAGCTAAAAACAATAGAGAAGAAAGTGGATGGATTCATGTTTGATGATTTTGGGGCTTTTGTTTCATCTAATATACATTAAGCATGTTATTTTTATAATTATTGTGAATTTTTAGCCTATTTATTATTATTAATAATTTTTTTAAAATTTGTAATTATATTACTGGTCCAACCAGTGACCCATTGACCCGGTCTCTCTCCCGGGTGGATGTCTGGGCTGAGTTTTAAAACTATTCTATCCGGATTCAAACCGCTTGTGTCTCATATTGATTTCTTTGTCTAACATAAAAGTCTATGGCACCGAAATTTAAACCTTTGGTATCAAATCTCTCTTTCTTATCAGTGTATTAGTTAATGCCCGAGTCTGAAGACACTGTGTAATTTTTAAAACAAATATCGCCAAAAAAAAAAAATCAAAATTCATTGCAATAAGTGTATACATCCATTAGAGCGTTGAATATTAGCATAGTTGAAATCCATCTAGACTCACCAACTATAGGACCATAAAACTACAAAAAATATGTTGTGTATTGTCCCACNGCTATATGATACTTTTACACAAATCAATCAATTTATTTTATACATATACACATATAACATCATCTCTATTAGGGTTTGGTTAATGTTAAAGAAAAAGAAGGAAGAGGAGGAGGAAAAAATAAAAAAACTGTAGGTAGGCATTCGCTTTTCTCACCAGACTCGCTTCTTCGCTTCGTCGCCTAAGCTCGCTTTTTCCTTGCTTTACTTAACCTCGCTTCGCCGTGGATGTTCAGGGCGACCAAGGCTCGCTTCTTGCCTAGGCTCGCTTTTCACAACACTGAGTCATAGCATAAAATATCTAACAAAATTTTTCACTTGAATTGAATAAACCAAAAACAGCAGTCAATATATTGCATGATTTATGTACCTATTTCGGTTGGTACATTTACCACATTNAAAAAAAAAAAACTCAAATATCCCAACATGCAAGGATTATGTTCC